CAGGTGACTGTAACCTTGCTGCTAGTGGTTACCCTGAATAGGTTTCATGCCCATTCTTTTCAGATAAACCAAGAACAACAAATCAGATTTTAGCCAGATGTGACTTTTAAATAAGTGCATATTTTACATATGTATGTTTATATCCAAACACCTTCCCAAGGCCTTACCTGATCTGACATCCCTACCAACCTCTGCATTCCCCTCTTGCCTCTCTTTCCCTCCAAATTGCTTCAGCCACAGTGGCATTTGTGCTGTTTAAACACACGGAACCTGTTCCTGGACCTTCACACATACACTGTCTCTCTGACTGGCATTCTCCTCTCTGTTTCTTCATGTAGCTCATTCCTTCATATCCTGTAAGTCTCCACAAAGTACTACACGCCCCAAAGAAGGCTTCCCAAGCTATCTTTTCTAAAAGAAGATCCCCCTTACTCTGTTGCTTTAATTTGCATTGTTTCCTCAGTTATGACTATCTGAAATTGAAGTCTTAAAAATCTGCTCTCCTAAAGGAATATAAAGTTCTATGAGAACAGAGACTTGGCGTTTTCTTTACTCTTTGTAGATGAGTACCTAGCACATTGTAGGAACTCAAATGTTGATACTACATATGCTTATATTACACTGTGAAGGTACTGGGGAAATAAAGTCATTTGACAGAGAGAGGGACTTGGTATTAAAATTTTTTCCACATCTCCCCAGAACCGGTATATTCTTCTAGTGTGTTGGATAATACTTTATTGATAATTCACTTGACCTTTATAATTCAGGTTTATAAAAAAGTTAGTATCAAGATATAAATATAAAATGTAATCTTTTTTTTTTTTACCTGAAATTCTTGCTACTTTTTCTACTAATGGAAAGAACAAATATAAAAGACACTCCCCTACTACCAAAAAATAACTGAGTGGAGGATTATCTTGGTGACTATTCAAAAAACTACTTTTCCTTCTAGGTTAAACAGCTTGGGTAAAATAGAACCCAGTAATGGCTTTTGAAGATTATAGAGTACTCATTTGATCATGTTTGCTTTAGAAAGCTTGACCTTCTATAATTTAGTCCCAGTTTGAGTAAATGTTAGCATTAGGAAAATAGGGGATTTTTGGATTGGGGCAAAATATCACAGAAAATTATCCTAGGAATATAAATACATTGATTCTTTGGGGTTTTCTGTACTAGAGTATTATCGCCAAGTAGTTTCATCTTTTTCAGCATAAAAAATAAGTATTGAAGGTTTATAAGAGAGAAGGGTGAATAGATATATTAGAATATATATAGATACATTAGAATACCATGGAGCTTTTTGAAAATAGATCTGTATGTAATGACCTTGAAACAAGTTGTTCATGATTTTTTCAAGTGAAAAATAGTAATCTCTGAAATATAAGGTTGTCTTTTTAAAGTCATATCTTGACTTTGCAACCTTTGCAACTGAATCCTAAGATTTAAAACTAATATGTTTATCTTATGGATGAGATTTCTGCAGTTTCCTATTACACATTTGCTTGTAGTTACAACCACTACTTGATTTTTTTTTTCCTTGATAGAAAGCATATATACTAAATGCGGTTGACACTTTTCCCCCCAATTATTTGGAATTCTATTAGTATATTATGAAATGCTAACCTTTTTTTCTTCCGCTTGGGTACCATTTTAGAATTTTCTGAAAAAATTGGAACAATCTTTTATGTGTGTATGCTGCCAGGAGCTAGTTTACCAGCCTGTGACAACAGATTGCCTCCACAATGTCTGTAAAGTAAGTAGAATTCCTTTCTCATTTTCCCTTATTAGGCTAGGAGGCACACTAACCTCCAAACCTGTTTTTAGCTCATGAAAAAGCAGTTTTTTTCAGGAAGCAGAATAGATAAGGAACCTTGCTGGATAGGAAGCATTTAATTTCATCTTGGTGGTGAATGCATATTTTAATTCTACAGCAGTTCAAATCTATATAGTCTCTATATTCTATCACATTTGAAATTATTGAAGATGAGTTGAAATGGAAAAGAAGGTAAGGTGTTGCTGGTGTCTTCTATTACAACTTACGTATGTCTCATATATTATAGTGCAAACTGGAATAATTCTGTGTACTTAACAGAATCTAGAACAAATTCTGTCTGGCAGCATGCTCAGAGGAGTTGTGTATTGTCTTATCAGTGTGGTATAAAAGGAATTTGAATTTCAGTCAAACCAAGGTTGGAATCTTGTTCAACTGCTTGGTGGTTATATGTCCTGACCTAACTTCTGAGGTTTAGTTTCTTTTGTAAAATGGAAACAGACTTTCCACATAAGTGTTTGTATCTGACCTTGAGTCAGTTAAATAATATCTTTTTGGAAAACACATTATATAAAATAGATAATGTAGTTTTAAGGAGGGAATTCCTGAGTTGTTTTTTTTTTTCTTTCGTGCCCCATCAGGAAAGATAAGGATTAAAATCCAACCTAGGTGAGGCTAGTGGGAACCATGCAGAATTCTAACACTCATTTCCCTGAATGTGGAAATTTATATAAAAATTGTCATTTGCCTGAAGTCTCACAGCATGTGTTAGAGGTGGAACTGAAGCCTTGTCTGTAAGTTCATTTTCATACTGCAGGTTCAGGCCTTGACAGTTGTTCATCTTTTATGTTTCTCTTGTTTCCAAACAGTAAGTTTCTAGTTCTATTCAAAAGCCTAAATTGTTGAGTATTTTCTATATGCTTTACCCTTGATGAAATCAGATGTGTTTACTTTTCATTTTGTTTTTGGTTTTGCCTTAGGATTGCTTGCAGCGCTCCTTTAAGGCTCAGGTGTTCTCCTGTCCTGCTTGCCGGCATGATCTTGGCCAGAATTACATCATGATTCCCAATGCGGTTCTGCAGACTCTACTTGACCTTTTCTTCCCTGGCTACAGCAAAGGACGATGATCTATCCACTACTCTGTTGCTCCTCGTGGCTTTTTGGACAATAAGGAATCTAAAATGGTTGGGGGTGGTTGGGAGGGGTGGAAGCAATGGTGGACCATATCTCACGTTCTGAAGCAGCTAATCCTCTTTCCTACATAGCCATCATCTTGTGTGTGTAGTAAGAGGCCCATTTCTCAACTGTCTTTTAAATATCAAAAGGTAGTTCTTGTCAGTTAACAACTAGTTTAATGAGTAAGAAGACAAAGCCTCAGCTCTAGTTGATATCCAAGTTATGATTTATTTTGCAACTACCTCAGGACAGAAAAGATTTATGGGGATTTTTTAAATCATTGAGAAATTAGTTAAATGAAATTTTAGCTACACACTGCCTCCCAAATATTAGTTGTGCCTGGTTCATGTAATTTGATTTTAGAAAAGGAAGTGACACTTGAGATTGTTGGAATGAACGCAGCTTCTGTAGTGTGCATAATACATTTTTAATGTCTTCTTCCATTACTGTGTGTTTTGCAAGAACAGGTTCATTTTTTAGCCCATTTTGTGAGCTCCATTGTGCTTTTTTTCTGGTGTTTTATGCAAGTTGACTACTAATGAAAACAATATGAATGCATTGTTGCTGCATTAGTGTAATGTGGTGTGGTTTTGCACTTAAAAGAGGTATTCAGATGATCTAGTTGTAAATTTCATGAAAAGCCTCTTCTGTACTAGTCAAACTGCTTTTAGTGAGTCTCACCAGTGGTTTTACATCTGCAGAGCATTGAGGACTGGGCTGAGTTTTTGAGAGGATTGAAATTGCTTCATATTGTGATCCTAAATTTTATATTCACTATATTCCCTAAAGTATACCTTAATAAATATTTTATGATCAGAAAAAAATAGCTCATCTTGCTTTTTTACATTTGTCTGGCTTATATTTGTAGGTATCTTTAAGAATCAGTCACTTCCAGAGTATTTCAGTGTGTGTTTTTACTGAAACAGACATTATGCACAATTTTTTACTCTTGATTTTTGGTATTGAGAACTAGTATGAAATCTTAAGTACTCAAGGACAGATTTCACCCTGAATTTGATCTTCTTTTTATTTTCCCCAATTATTTTTATTAGTTGGAGGCTAATTACAATATTGTAGTGGTTTAAGCTCAAACACGGTGATTGGAGCTACTGTCAGTGAGGGCTAGTTTTAAACATTGGAGTCATTTTTATTTTGAATAAATTAGGTTGAAAATGAATCATTAAATTGCATCATCTGGTGTTGATCATATTGATGCATGAAGAGTGGGGAATGCCTTCCAGTTTCAATTACTTGATCTGGTTTTACTACTTTTATTAGGAAAATAAAGGATTCCCACATTTATGGTATCTATTTATTTAACTTTGCTATAGAATGATAGACTATGAATAAAAAAATGATTACAGTTTAACATGTTCAGAAGTGTCAAGAATGTCTCAAAGCTAAACAGTTTTATGTTGCTCAAGCTTTTTTTAAAGACTTCAAGTTTTTTTAACATAAATATAAAGCATAGGAAGTTTAAAAAATTTAATGGTAATTATATCCTCAAATCTAGTAAATATTTGTTCAAATTTCTCTTGTCTCAAATATCATACATGGATATTTAAGTTTGTTTGATTCAGGACCCAAACAGACTTTAAATTGTTACTAATTGCTATCTTGGTATCTTTAATTTGTGTTTATCTCCTGAATCTTTTTTTTTCTTTGCCTTTTACAATTTGCATTTTGAAATGTCAAAAGCCTTTCAAACAGAATAGATTTTGCCAGTAGTAACCATGTGGTACAGTTAACCTGTTTCTCTTTATTTTCTGTAAGTTAGTAGTTAGAATTCAAGAGTGACCAGATTTAGACTTAAAAGTGTGGCTGGGTAGGCAGCAAGACTTCTTCATGAGTGTTGGAGTTGTCCATCAGGAAGGTGGAGCATATTTGGTTGTCTCTTAGGCATAAGTTTGAATAATGAGATTTTTACTGGATTCCATTACACTTAGTAAGTTATAGCGACTGCTAAGCACTTAGCCACTTTCTTAAGGGCAAGAGTTTAGGAATTTTCTTTTTTCTAATTAGAGTAGGCAGAGCCTCTAGTTTTAGAACTTACTTCAGTGACCAGAATGACTGTGGTGACCATCAGCTATACTTTCCACCAGCTGTTTCCGGCTCAACTGCATATGTTAGGATTATATATCCCAGCCTCCTTGTGGTTGGCTGGGACTATGTGACCAGTTAGTTGTGACATAAGTGCTGTGTCACTTCTGGGCAGACCATTTAATTGCCCTCCAGAGCTTTTTCTCCCTTCCATGGAGGCAAGTAGCATCCAGATAAATGTTTTGTATCAAAGTGGGGTCCCCAGCCAACTTGTGATATACACGCAATACAAGTATGAAGTACAGTTTAAGAGCCTAAGGTTTTTGAGTTTCTAACACATGACCCAGCCTTTGCTGACTAATAGCATCCTTAAACTCCTCAGGCAACCAGTAGATAGGAGATTGAATTTAACTGATCTTTTTAATATTTTTGAACTACAACTTCTACTATTTTTAAACTAAATTCCTAAATATCCAAATTAGTTGATAAAGCTATTGATAAATTGGTTGGTAGTGTGGTAGGCAACCTCTACGATGGTCCCCAGTGATCTCTACCTCCTGGGCTTCATGCCCTTTGTAATCTCCCCTCTGTGAGTGTGGGCTGGAATGCTTTCATCTTGTTCATGTAAGGTAATGAACAAAGGGATGTTACTTCCAAAGATAGGTACTGTGGCTTCCTCTTGGGCACCCTCTCTTACTCATTCTGGGAGAAGCTAGCTGGCATGTTTTAAACTACCTTACAGAGAGGCTTATGTGGCAAGAAACGGATGTCTCCAACCAACAGCCAGCAAGGAGGTGAGCGTGGAAATGGCTTCTCCTCCACCCAAGGCTTGAGCCTCTATGACTCAAGTATATGTTTGATAAATATGCTGTTTTTCACATTGTTCATCCCCTGTTGGTAGTTATTTTTCTCTACCCTCTTTTAAGATTTATCTCTGTCTTTTAAATTTTCAGAAATTCAATTATGATCTGACTGAGCTTGGGTTTCTTTAGGTTTATCTTGTTTGAAGTTCTTTCAGCTTCTTGAATCTAGATTTTATCTTCTGTCAGATCTGGAAACTTTCCAGCCATTATTTCTTCAAGTGTGATTTCAGTCCGGAACATTTTTTTCCTCTCCTTCAGAACTTTAATGACATGAATGTTGGTTTTGTTATTGTCCCACAAGTCTCTGCAATTCTGTTTGTTTTTATTCACTTTATAGTTTCTAATCGTTCAAATGAGGTAATTCTTAATGATCTCTAGGTCTGCTGATGATTTCCTCTGTCATCTGCATGCTGCAGTTGAACCCATTCGGTAAGTTTTTTTTTATTTTTTAGTTCCAAACTTCCTGCTTGGGTCTTCCATATATCTCTTACTCAAGTTTATGTGATGAGTAACTTTGCATTGGATCCTACACAGTTTGAGTATTATGCAAATCTTGTAATTAAATCTTCTATTTTATAAGGCCAACTGTTCAGGTTCAGTGGGGTTCAGCCCCACTTTTGTGGCTCAGTGTCAATTTTCAAGGCTTTTGCAGTGGTATTCTGGTCCTCTTCAACTTGGATGCTACCTGATGCCAGTTGAAACCTGGGCAGCAGTCCACTCATAGTTCATTTTGCCATGTTGATTATGGTGACTTTCTTGTGTGGTCTGGTTGAGGGTGTGCCCAGGACTTCATTAACACATTTAAAGGAACTCTTTCTCTAGCTTCTTTGTCTCTGTAATCCTCCCTCAGTCTCTGTAGTTAGGATGGCTGAGATGCTGCCTTTTTGAGGCTGGTCACTCAGTTCAGGGCAAGGAAGGTCCACAGGGCTCCTCCTATAGTCTTGCCCACATCCAGTGACTGGGGAATGTATGTTCACTTGGAGTGGGGCAGGTATAATCAAATTAATAATTTCATACATATCACCCTTTTCCCACCCTTTGGTTGATAAGAGCAGGCTTTTAGTATTCTTCATCTGCACCCACTGATGTTTTCAGGTTTTAGATGTTTTTTGCACCCAAGTCAAAGGAAAGTAAAAATGTGGCATAAGAAAACACCCAGGTTAAAAAAAACAAGAAAACACCCAGGAAACTTCCAGTTCATTCCTCAAGTTCCAAAGTGACTACCCAGGTGACCACCTTTTCCCTACCATTCAAGATCTTTAGATAGCTTTATAGAATTCATCCATGGTCTTTAGTTATATTTAGCAGCAGGAATAAGGTGAAATATATATACTCCATCTTGTATGGTACTCAGAGTCCACCAACTTCAGTTCAGTCACTCAATCCTGTCGGACTCTTTGCAACCTCATTGACTACAGCACGCCAGGCTTCCCTGTCCATCACCAACTCCCAGAGATTACTTAAACTCATGTCCATTGAGTTGGTGATGCCATCCAACCATCTCATCCTCTGTTGTCCCCTTCTACTCCTGCCTTCAATCAGTCCCAGCATCAGGGTCTTCTCCAGTGAGTCAGTTCTTCACATCAGGTGGCCAAAGTATTGAAGTTTCAGCTTCAGCATCAGTCCTTCCGATGAACATTCAGGACTGATTTCCTTTAGGATGGACTGGTTGGATGTCCTTGCAGTCCAGCGGACTCTCAAGAGTCGTCTTCAGCACCACAGTTCAAAAGAATCAATTCTTCCGCTCTCAGCGTTCTTTATAGTCCAACTCTCACATCCATACATGACCACTGGAAAAACCAAAGCTTTGACTAGATGGACCTTTGTTGATAAAGTAATGTCTCTGCTTTTTAACATGCTGTCTAGGTTGGTCATAACTTTTCTTCCAAGTAGTGTCTTTAAATTTCATGGCTGCAGTCACCATCTGAAGTGATTTTGGAGCCCAAGAAATAAAATCTGTTACTGTTTCCACTGTTTTGCCATCTCTTTGCCATGAAGTGATGGGACCAGATGCCATGATCTTAGTTTTCTGAATGTTGAGTTTTAAGCCAACTATTTCACTCTCCTCTTTCACTTTCATCAAGAGGCTCTTTAGTTCTTCACTTTCTGCCATAAGGTTGGTATCACCTGCATATCTAAGGTTATTGATATTTCTCCCAGAAATCTTGATTCCAGCTGGTGCTTCATCCAGCCTGGCGTTTCTCATGATATACTCTGTATATAAGTTAAGTAAGCAGGGTGACAATACACAACCTTGACATACTTCTTTCCCGATTTGGAACCAGTCTGTTGTTCCATGTCCAATTCTGTTGCTGCTTGACCTGTATATATATTTCTCAGGAGACAGGTCAGGTGGTCTGGTATTCCCATCTCTTTCAGGATTTTCCACAGTTTGTTGTGATCCACATAGTCAAAAGCTTTAGCATAGTCAGTAAAGCAGAAATGGATGTTTTCTGGAACTCTCTTGCTTTTTTGATGGTACAACATTGTTGGCAATTTGATCTCTGGTTCCTCTGCCTTTTCTAAATCCAGCTTAAACATCTGGAAGTTCACAGTTCACATACTGTTGAAGCCTGGCTTAGAGAATTTTGAACATTACTCTGCTGGCGTGTGAGATGAGTGCAAATGTGAGGTAGTTTGAACATTCTTTGGCATTGCCCTTCTTTGGACTGGAATGAAAACTGACCTTTTCCAGTCCTGTGGCCACTGCTGAGTTTTCCAAATTTGCTGGCATATTGAGTGCAGCACTTTCACAGCATCATCTTTCAGGATTTGAAATAGCTCAACTGGAATTCNAACATTGAGACATGCCTGGCGGCTCTGGCCCTTCGCCAGATCCTTGTGAGGACCTTCTCCTCAAGGCAGTCACGTAGTCTCCCTCAACAGTCTTCTCATGTGTTGTTGGAAGAGGATGTTTGCTATGATCAGTGTGTTCTCTTGGCAGAGCTCTGTTAGCCTTTGCCCTGCTTCATTCTGTACTCCAAGGCCAAATTTGCCTGTTACTCCAGGTGTTTCTTGACTTCCTACTTCTGCATTCCAGTCCCCTATAATGAAAAGGACATATTTTTTGGGTGTTAGTTTTAGAAGGTCTTGTAGGTCATCATAGAACCGTTCAACTTCAGCTTCTTCAGCATTACTGGTTGGGGCATAGACTTGGATTACCGTGATATTGAATGGTTTGCCTTGGAAACAAACAGATCACTCTGTCATTTTTGAGATTGCATCCAAGTACTGCATTTGGGACTCTTCTGTTGACTAGGATGTCTACTCCATTTTTTTAAAGGGATTTTTGCCCACAGTAGTAGATACAGTGGTATTCTGAGTTAAATTCACCCATCCCAGTCCATTTTAGTTTGCTGATTCCTAAAATGTCAATGTTCACTCTTGTCATCTCCTGTTTGACCACTTCCAATTTGCCTTGATGCATGAACCTAACATTCCAGGTTCCTATGCAATATTGCTCTTTACAGAATCGGACTTTACTTCCATCACGAGTCGCATCCACAACTGGGTGTTGTTTTTGCTTTGACTCCATCTCTTTATTCTTTCTGGAGTTATTTTCTCCACTGATCTCCAGAAGCATACTGGGTACCTACCGACCTGGGGAGTTCATCTTTCAGTGTCTTATCTTTTTGCCTTTTCATATTGTTCATGGGGTTCTCAAGGTAAGAATACTGAAGTGGATTACCATTCCCTTTCTCCAGTGGACCATGTTTTGTCAGGAATCTCCACCATGACCCATCCATCTTGGGTGGCCCTACAATGGCATGGCTCATAGTTTCATTGAGTTTAAACAAGGCTGTGGTCAATGTGATCAGATTGGTTAATTTTCTGTGACTCTGGTTTTCATTCTGTCTGCCCTCTGATGGAGAAGGATAAGAGGCTTATCAGTTCAGTTCAGTCACTCAGTCGTGTCCAACTTTTTCCAACCCTATGGACTGCATGCAGCACGCCAGGTCTCCTTGTCCATCACCAACTCCTGGAGTTTACCCAAACTCATGTCCATTGAGTCAGTGATGCCATCGAACCATCTCATCCTCTGTCATCCTCTTCTCTTCCTGTCTTCAATCTTTCCCAGTGAGTCAGTTCTTCACATCAGTTGACCAAAGTATTGGAGTTTCAGCTTCATCATCAATGAATGATGATGAATCAGCTTCATTTTTCCAATGAATATTCAGGGCTAATTTCCTTTAGGATGTACTGGTTGAATCTCCTTGATGTCCAAGGGACTCTCAAGTGTCTTCTCCAACACCACAGTTCAAAAGCATCAATTCTTCAGCACTCAGCTTTCTTTAGAGTCCAACTCTCACATCCATACATGACTACTGAAAAAAAACCATAGCTTTGATTAGACTTTGTTGATAAAGTAATGTCTCTGCTTTTTAACATGCTGTCTAGGTTGGTCATAACTTTCCTTCCAAGGAGCAAGCGTCTTTTAATTTCATGGCTGCAGTCACCATCTGCAGGATTTTGGAGCCCAAAAACATAAAGTCTGTCACTGTTTCCATTGTTTCCCCATCTATTTGTCATGAAGTGATGGGACCAGATGTCATGATCTTAGTTTTCTGAATGTTGAGTTTTAAGTCAACTCTTTCACTCTCCTCTTTCACTTTCATCAAGAGGCTCTTTAGTCCTTCTTCACTTTCTGCCATAAGAGTGGTGTCATCTGTATATCTGAGGTTGTTGCTCTTTCTCCCAGCAATCTTGACTCCAGCTTGTGCTTCCTCCAGTCCAGCGTTTCTTATGATGTACTCTGCATATACGTTAAATAAGCAGGGTGACAATATACAGCCTTGATGTACTCCTTTCCCGACTTGGAACCAATCTGTTGTTCCATGTCCAGTTCTGACTGCTGCTTCCTGACCTGCATACAGATGAGGCTATTGGAAGCTTCCTGATGGGAGAGACTGACTGAGGGGTAAACTGGGTTTTGTTCTGATGGGTGAGGCCTTGCTCATCAAATCTGTAATCCAATCTTCTGTTGATGGGCTGGGCTGTTTTCACTCCCTGTTCCTTGACCTGAGGCCACACTATGGTGGAGGTAATGAAGACTACCTTCTTCAAAAGATCGCATGTTCTCACTGCTGCATGCAGTGCCCCCAAACCTGCAGGCCACCGCCGACCCACACCTTGGCCGGAGACTCCTGGACACTCGACTAGTCTGGGTCAGTCTCTTGTGGGGTCACTGCTCCTTTCTCCTGGGTCCTGGTGCACACAAGGTTTTGTTTGTGCCCTCCAAGAGTCTGTTTCGCAGTCTTGTGTAAGTTCTGGCTGCTCTGTGGTGGGGTTAATGGTGACCTCCTCCAAGAGGGCTTATGCCATACCCACCAAGAAGCCTTTCAAAAACAGATTTTCATCTACTCAGAAAACAAAACAGTTTTAACAATAAAGGAACTCTTGAGAGAAAGCTCACATTTTTAAGCATTTATGTGTCAGACATTATGAGTGATACTGAAACTTTGCAGCAACCCAACAAAGAAGACATTTCCCTTTTATTACAAAGAAATGGGCTCAGGAAATGGAAGGAAAGTAACATCTATGCTATGTTCTATACCTATTGGGGTTTGTTTTTGAAGATTTTTTTGATGTGGAGCATTGTTAGGTCTTTTTTGAATTTGTTAACAATACTGTTTCTGGTTTTTTTTTTTTTTTTTTAATGTTTTGGTTTTTTGGCCCTGAGGTATATGGTATCTTAGTTCCCCAACCAGGGATCGCACTTGCACCACCTGCATTAGAAGGCGAACTCTTAACCACTGGACTGCCATGGAAGTTCCTGTTCGTTTTTAAAGTATGAAAAAGTATAAAACTAGCATATATATAAGCTATCTAGTATTGATCATTTTAGGATCATTCTTAAGATTTTAAATAAAATACTGTAAACAAAGACGTACTTTAATCAATCAGCTTGCCCATTCCCCCCCCTAAGAAATTATGAGTTCAGTGTTGCCTTTTCTGTTTATTTTTATACTTAGGTATTCATAAACAAAATATAGTATTTCAGATGTTGAAATCTGACACTTTATTTCATAGGATTTGATGCTTTGGGGTATCTATCTTAATATTATTATCTAATATTAATATCTTAATACATTATCTATCTTAATAGATAAACTTAGTATCTCTGTGTTTATTATCCTGGCATGTATATTCCTGTGATTGCAGTTGTTGTAATGGAGTATGCAGGAATGATTCTTGTCTTTCCTCCTTATTCTGACATTTAAAGCAGATTTTATCTTCCCCCTGACCCCCCAACACACACACCCACGACAAAAAGGTAATGTTTCTATCATTTTGTGATCATCCTTAATCTTTCAGTGTACCTACACACAAGAGCATATTGATACTAATATTTATAAAATAGTCAATAGCTCAGTTTTTTCCTGAATAAA